CAAGGACAAAACAAATTTATAAAATTTACATGGTAGAATTTGTGAGCAAAACTTTGACATAAATCGTGACTAACAACAACGTTTAAGACCCAAAATTAGATTTTACATTAAGATAAAAAGTCTACATATAATATCCAAATTTAGTAGTAATGTAGGCACGAAATCTTCAATTTATTCCATGTTGTTCGGCCATTGTTTTGGGCGTTGAGCAAGTGTTTATTGTTTGATGAGAATTCTGTGTGCAGTTTCTAAAATTGGTAGCATTCAGGCACAAAATCCTATATTAATTTACATGAAGAAGTAGAATAATATTCGACGAGCAAAGCTCGGCCACCGGTTGTAACTCACGCATTGTTCAGACCGCGAAGTCAGTCGACTGGCGGCTGGCGGCTGGCGGGTATCTGCTAGTCGTGCTGAGGGAAGGTGCGAGAGGCGGCAAACATCAAAGAGCCGCTCACACCCCATCAAAACACCATTAGAGAGCAGAGACCACCTCCGCGGCCACACAACCGAGCCACTTGACACCAGCAACATCAGTCACTGGATTCCGAACAATTGGAAATGGATGCCCCTGGGATGATCGTACATAATGTGGGAAATCAGGGTGTGATCGAGGAATAATGTAAACTTGTGGGTGTGAGATTCTGTCTTTTAATTCCAAGTGTCTTATGCTCAGCTGGAACTTCGCACAAAGATTATTTTCGTATCCTAGATGAGCAACATATAAGTGTACCCTCGTTTGAATTTTTGGCTAGGACCCTGCCCTCCTCCATATTGACAAAGAGCTAATATGGAAATACAGGTAAAGCATTTCGAAAACAGTGAACTTAACTTACCGAGCAACGGATGTTCAACCTTCCGCAATCTAAAATTCTATGTGTTTTTTTTAATTGAAGATAGTTTAGATTATTAGTTAAGATTAGTTTAGTTAGATTGTTTTAAAAGGACAGGACTAAGTAATGATATCCTAGATTTTGTGAGCAGTTTGTCTTCTGGGTCATGCTTCTCTAATTTTGAAAAAATAGGATCGTCCGTAGTTTAAAATGTGGGATATTAATTCAGGAGCGTGTGAAAATTAGATTTAACGATGTTTAAGAAATATTCCCTTTATATTATTTTTCGATCTTGCAATAAAGGGGATCTTACAGTGCCATGAAGTGCTACAAATTAATCCATTTTGGTTTGAAACGTAATTTTCATTACATACATGGTAAAAAATTGAAATAAACATTACAGTAAAATGAATACCTTGTATTTTACTGATGACTAATTAGTATCACAAAACCATCAACACAAACGAGTACAACTACTTTATAAATACAGTACCTTATAACTAGTAACATAGAGTATGCATAATAAAATACAACGGCAAAATCACGAGAGAAACTCTTATTTTCATTTATAGATTTATTTCTTGAAAGTATGATTAAAGCTTGTACAATACATTATAGCTTATAATTTTAATTTTATCTTATCTCCATTGTAAGTCAATAACTGTCTTAGATCAATTACTTTCATAAACAAAGATTTGACCCTTACTTACCCATGCCACAGATACAAAATGAAGTGATGAGGTTCCCAGTCTTTTCATAGAACATTCAATTGGCTGGAGTGATTGATTTTGAGGTCGATTTCAGTTCCCATTCGGTAAATGGAATGAGAGACTGGCTGGTAATCGAATTATTAAATTACATCTTGTGACTTGAATCAACCAAGGGCTTAATTTTTCGAAAAATGCCAATCAGTGAAGATGATTGCGCCTTTCAACCATTTTGAGAGGTCAAACTACCAAAACCAGACACGTAGCAGAGAGATGGGAGCTGCAGATGATCGTTTATCTGGACTGCGGTCTCTATAGCAACCGCTGGTGAAGAAAATATCATCAGTGGCTTTCTCATTAATCAGTCTAGAATGATTTTTCAAGGAGAGAGGTCATTATCAGCTTTTAAACGTTGTGAAAGTCTGACACTTGTAAAGTATGAAGTTTGTCTTGTAGACTCTAGAAAACCTTAATTGGAATCTCAAAGGTTCCAAAAGTAAAGAGAAGTTCGTAGGGTTTTTCGGTAGGGGATTAAGGAGGATCTTTGGTTTAATGGAAGATAAGGATGAATGGAAAATCAAGAAGAGATGACATGTAAGAGACCTATGCCTGCATACAAATCCAGTCATGACACAGTTGATGTCTATATTTTGTTGGCAATCTACGGCTTTAATTTATGTGGGATGGAAATGTGTAAAAGAGCGAATAGCATTCAAGGGTTTGATCTGGTAATCCCAAATGGAAAAAAGACCACTGGGAAAAGTTCAAAAGGACATCAATACACTACACTTCTAGGAGAAAAGACAAAAGAAAATGGAGTGTCGATCATTGTCTACGTCGAGAGCAGATACTTATATTAGCGAAGTTTCTAAATCTTACTAATAATATTATAAATGTGAAGGTTTGTGTGTTTGTTTGTTTGTTTGTTTGTGTGTTTAAAGTCCAATCACGCATTAATTACTGGATGGATTGTGATATTGTGACAATCACGAATAATTTGTGATATTTTGTGAATCTTAAATAATTTATTTTTTTCTATTGTTTGCGTGAAGTGGTAGAACATTATGGCTATGGTAGATGTGTAATACTATAGTATACCGTAAATTTATGGAAGCAAATTTGATCATACTTTGTCCTCCCTCATTGCAAACGCTAAGCTTGAGTATAACTGTACTAAGCATTTTATACTTATATGCCACTCCCGTACGAAGGACGGGTACTCTTGCTAGTTATCGATAAATTTAAAGTTGGAGAAGACTAATTTATGTCCAAAAGATATTAGACATGAATTTGCTTCTATTTTTTCTGACAAGGTATAAGTATACCTTTCTAATAAGATTTAGATAATCGATTTGTTGTTGGAGCGCTGTCATACAATTTTAATATAAATTAATATTGATGATTATCTTGACGACTAAAATAAGACCCACTCCCCTGATTCAACTGATCTTCTGAAGCCCTTTCTTCTCTTACACCAGCCGTTGAGTAGTCAGTAGTCACATCTGCTGTTCTGCTGCAACCAGAACTGTCTATTAGCGATTATTCAGGGTCTCGAAGATCGAACGGGTGGTCGCAACATTTGCAATGGTAAAGATCGAGCTTTCTATCTGTGAGTGCTTTCAATTAGTTAAGTGTGGTGTGCCCGAAGCTCCACCGATCCCTCTATTATCTGCTAATGCCAGACTAGGCCCTCATTAATATAGACGCGTATTAGGACTAATAACGCCTCACGCGTTGGTACCGTCCCCGGGCCTCGTATAAATTTTAATACGCTTACTGTAAATTATAAATGTGGACCGGCAGGTGCTGATGTTGGTAAACGTCGAAATTATTCAAATTCTAAGCGGACACTGACAAGGTATTTCTTGTCAGGTTTAATGGAGATGGGTCTATTGCTACTATTAGTTTAGCGTTTTTATCCCAGGTTAAGCCCGAATAATGGACGTTTTTAGTTGGATAGGGAAGGGTTGAGGGCGTCAATTGGACCCTTTTGGATAGTCACGCTATTGCCTAGTTTGAAATTTTACGACATATTCTTTGTTTTTGATCTCTGGAGGTGGCCAGTTCACATTAAATGAATGTGTTATTTGATTTTTATTAGAAATATTGTTACTGTCTTATCAGAAGACTCAGAAGACTTATTTTTTAAGTGTAGTGATAGTATTAATGTCAGTGATAAATTCTCTAATAACCGTTTAGTGAACTAATTGATCAAAAACATTTAAAGGAGAATAATAAAGAAACATGATCAAATTTTGTAAATTAGTGTTGTCAAATGTTGTAACATTAAACTTTTAGTAAATCCTGAGCTTTATTTATCTTCATTTTATGTTGTTTTGTTGTTGTTCCGGATCGGTATGACATTCAATAAAAGGTTAAATTATCTGTGTCCGCCGGTCGATCCTAATAAAGCTGTAGCCTATTTAAGGAGATGCATTTCGGCAGAATATATTAGGAATATATTATATTAGGACTGATGATGGCAATTTATTCTGCCGAAATGCATCTCCTGAAATAGGATACAACTTTATTTATATTTTTTTCGCAACTACTCTCATAGTCTTTTTAAGTTTGGTACTGCTAGGCCTTATCCTTATACAATAATTGTTTAGTTTGTAAAAAAGTTTACTAAAACTTACTCTTGCAATATCAAAAAATATGTTATCAAACACCTACCAACAATACGTCAAACAAAACTATTATAAAGCATAGACAACGAAGAAACATAAGCAAAGTAAGAACCAAAAAAATCGCATAACACTCACGTTACCTTCTTAGTCAAACAATTCGTTGACTAAACACCAGGAACGCCAACCAGGATGACAAAGGGGATGAAGACAGAAAGGTGACAAAATTGGTGTGTGGCAGCGTCAAGCAATGTATTCACGGAGGCGGGCGGCACCTGTCCTCCAATAACAGGGCGGCTGATTAGAGAGCGGCGACCTAAACATGGGTTAAGTCTCAATTAGGATCGGATAACAGGAAAACAAAGACGGATGCCGGCCCACCTGCGATCCGGCCTGAGGTGGACAACTTGTAGTGACTAGTGGACAACTTGTAGTGACTAGTGGACAACTTGTAGTGACTGAGGTGGACAACTTGTAGTGACAGAGGTGGAAAACTTGTATTGACTAGTGGTCAAGTTTTAGTGACTAGTGGACAAGTTGTAGTGACTGAGGTAGACAACTTGTAGTAGCTAGTGGAAAACTTGTAGTAACTGAGGTGGACAACTTGTAGTGACTGAGGTGGACAACCTGTAGTGACTGAGGTGGACAACTTGTAGTGACTAGTGGACAACTTGTAGTGACTGAGGTAGACAACTTGTAGTGGCTAGTGGACAATTTGTAGTGACTGAGGTGGACAACATGTAGGGACTAGTGGACAACTTGTAGTGACTAGTGGACAACTTGTAGTGACTGAGGTGGACAACTTGTAGTGACTAGTGGACAGCTTGTAGTGACTAGTGGACAACTTGTAGTGACTGAGGTGGACAACTTGTAGTGACTAGTGGACAGCTTGTAGTGACTAGTGGACAACTTCTAGTGACTGAGGTGGGCAACTTGTAGTGACTGAGGTGGACAACTTGTAGTGTCTGAGGGGGACAACTTGTAGTGACTAGTGGACAACTTGTAGTGACTGAGGTGGTCAACTTGAAGTGACTGAGGTGGTCAACTTGAAGTGACTGAGGTGGACAACTTGTAGTGACTGAGGTGGTCAACTTGTAGTGACTAGTGGACAACTTGTAGGGACTAGTGGGCAACATGTAGTGACTAGTGGACAACTTGTAGGGACTAGTGGGCAACATGTAGTGACTAGGGGACAACTTGTAGTGACTGAGGTGGTCAACTTGAAGTGACTGAGGTGGACAACTTGTAGTGACTGAGGTGGACAAATTGTAGTGACTAGTGGACAACTTGTAGGGACTAGTGGGCAACATGTAGTAACTAGGGGACAACTTGTAGTGACTAGTGGAAAACTTGTAGGGACTAGTGGCCAACATGTAGTGACTAGTGGACAACTTGTAGGGACTAGTGGGCAACATGTAGTGACTAGGGGACAACTTGTAGTGACTAGTGGACAACTTGTGGTGACTAGTGGACAAGTTGTAGTGACTAGTGGACAACTTGTAGTGACTAGTGGACAACTTGTAGTGAATGAGGTGGTCAACTTGAAGTGACTGAGGTGGACAACTTGTAGTGACTGAGGTGGACAACTTGTAGTGACTAGTGGAAAACTTGTAGGGACTAGTGGCCAACATGTAGTGACTAGTGGACAACTTGTAGGGACTAGTGGGCAACATGTAGTGACTAGGGGACAACTTGTAGTGACTAGTGGACAACTTGTGGTGACTAGTGGACAAGTTGTAGTGACTAGTGGACAACTTGTGGTGACTAGTGGACAACTTGTAGTGACTGAGGTGGTAAACTTATAGTGACTGAGGTGGACAACTTGTAGTGACTGAGGTGGACAACTTGTAGTGACTGAGGTGGTCAACTTGTAGTGACTGAGGTAGACAACTTGTAGTTACTAGTGGACAACTTGTAGTTACTGAGGTGGACAATTTGTAGTGACTAGTGGACAAGATGTAGTTACTAGTGGACAACTTGTAGTGACTAGTGGACAACTTGTAGTGACTGAGGTGGACAACTTGTAGGGACTAGTAGACAACTTGTAGTGACTGAGGTGGACAGCTTGTAGTGACTGAGGTGGACAATTTGTAGTGACTAGTGGACAAGATGTAGTTACTAGTGGACAACTTGTAGTGACTGAGGTGGACAGCTTGTAGTGACTGAGGTGGACAATTTGTAATGACTAGTGGACAACTTGTAGTGACTGAGGTAGACAACTTGTAGTGACTAGTGGGCAACTTACAGTGACTGAGGTGGACAACTTGTAGTGACTAGTGGACAACTTATAGTGACTGAGGTGGACAACTTGTTGTGACTGAGGTGGACAACTTGTAGTAGTGACTAGTGGACAACTTGTAGTGACTAGTGGACAACTTGTAGTGTCTGAGGGGGACAACTTGTAGTGACTGAGGTGGGCAACTTGTAGTGACTAGTGGACAACTTGTAGGGACTAGTGGACAACTTGTAGTGACTGAGGTGGACTACTTATAGTGACTAGTGGACAGCTTGTAGTGACTGAGGTGGACAACTTGTAGTGACTAGTGGACAACTTGTAGTGACTGAGGTGGACAGCTTGTAGTGACTGAGGTGGGCAATTTGTAGTGACTAGTGGACAAGATTTAGTTACTAGTGGACAACTTGTAGTGACTGAGGTAGACAACTTGTAGTGACTGAGGTGGACAACTTGTAGAGACTGAGGTGGATAGCTTGTAGTGACTGAGGTAGACAACTTGTAGTGACTAGTGGACAACTTGTAGTGACTGAGGTGGACAACTTGTAGTGACTGAGATAGACAGCTTATAGTGACTGGGGTGGAGAACTTCACTTAGGGGAGGGAAAATCATTTGTAAATAACTAAACAGGCAGTTTGGGATGTTCAGAGGTGCTTCATAATGTGAAGAAAGGACCATACATTGAACTCTTCTACAGCAAGGCATTTGAAAGACACTCCCCAACCCCATAATGTCGTTTACACTTGACTCTTGTGCTGGCTCAACTGAACCACCTGATAGAAGGATCTAATCTTTAAACTGTATTTTTCGTCAAGACATTTGGAAAGACAAACTAAATTGTGGAGTGTGTTTCTTTTTTTTTAGTTGTAGTGAATTGGATTTACCTTTTCATGGAGCGTTTTCTTTTTATTTATTTTGAACTTACTTTAGGATAAATTTACAGAACGTGTATACAAACAAACAGTGTTTAGTACACGCACCATACACCAAAAAGATCAGTATTCAATTGAAATATAGTGTACTGTTGGTGTCGTAGTGTCAATCTGAATAATAATTATAATGAATGTTGAAGGCCAACAATCACGACAAAGTTTTAGATTTTTGACAGAAGCTCTAAAAAAAGATAGTATTTTTTTAAAAGGGGTTTTAGTCTAAAATACAGAACATTTTTTCTTGGGGGTGTTTTAGAAATCATATACACAAAAATTGTAGAATAAGCTGCATTTTCGAGGATAGAGCCCGATTCAATTGCTCAAAGGTGGATTTGAAATAATAATTCTAAAGAGTCTATTTTTTACTGACTGGAGGACTCTCTATTGTTGTACTGTAATACTGTAGTATGGATTGATTTGAGTCTTTGTGTCTTTACCAACCTACATCTCTTGTAGATGTTCTATGGAACTTTCAATCCAAATTTTCACATGAATTCCACATCCTCTTGCCAATTCCTATCAAGATCGTCTCGACATCTTAACAGACTCACTTATTCCATCTGGCTATCGCTACAGATGACTCAAAGTATCAAGACATTATAATAAACTGTATCCCCCCTCCTACATATAGACTCGACCGCCAGCCCAGCACAAACATTGAACCCCTCGCCCCCTACCATGGTATTAATGCGTTGTTAGTTTTTCCATTACGTACTAATTCCGTTATTACTCGCATTAAATAACAGCGGGTACCGATTGTTCCCATTACAATTTTCCGCCCCGTGTATGTCTTGATTACCCGCCGTGGCGCGGCGGGACGTCCTATTGGCGGGAAGGTGTCAGCCAGGTAGCGATGGCGGCCGTTACCCAATACTCTCGCAGAAACACACAGCAATTTCCGGGCGAGCGCTGCAGCCGCTGCCGGAACCACAGTCGTCCTAATGCCGGTTATTACAGCAGATCAAGTTTTAATTGAATAACCTTTTCTAATGGTGTCATTCCGAACTCCATTACCCACACATACCACTCGCCGTCACAATTAACCTTATTCCTTAACTGCGACGTTTCCAGGTTTGCGGCTTTTTAATTCCTCCGACACTCCCGTGTGTGTCATTATACTCCAATTGGTCCTGAATTGTACGGGCCTCCACGTCACGTACCTCGGACGGGTAATTCGGGGTAAATTCGATTAAGCTTCGCTAATTCAATTGAAAATGATATCGGAGTGATCACACGGGAAACAAAACGGCGTTTGAAGTCGCCGCTCTCGCCGGATCATCCGTGGACAAATGGGAGCTGCCTAATTCAATTAAATGAGAAACTGTAATCTCATCTGAAGCGTCGATGAGGTAGATTCGTTGGCCACTGTCTATTAGGCTCATAAGCCACATGTAAACTGTCCAGTAATTCCGTGGGAATTGACGGATCCTAAGTTCTTCAATTGTTCGTAACCACAGGAATGCTTCACGTAGGTGTCCAAGAAATCTCTAATATCTTACAAGTTTGTACTATTTAAGTCACCACATCATTTTCGAGTACACTGTCACTGTATCACTGTAGGTTATAACTATCCTTTTGTTGTGCTAGCTTTTGCAACTATTCCTTGCGCTAATCCATTTCTTAATCAAACTATTGGGTATCTAAAGAAGCTTGGCGAAACATTGACATATGCGTTACTAATAACAACAGTTATACTATGAAGGAGATTGACTGAGTCAAAAAAATGAAGTCTCCGTGGAAATGTTTCTATATAATAGCAGATATTACATCTCTTCTGCTTCTCATAGTTATACTGTATAGAGTGTAGACTTGGAGAGCTCGAAGTCTTTGAACTTTTGGTGTTTCTTTCCATACAGCGCAAGGGCTGTTTTGGTACCATAAGTTAATTGTAGCACTTCGAAAAAGTTTCTTGAAATATCGAGCGAATACTTTCTACCTTCCACAATCACAATTTGTATGTATCCATTCCAAAGGGCAATGTTTGTTCATTGCTTAACCTTCATTTTACTTCACATTTTTGTAAAAACCTGCACGATGATGTAGCCAAAGCTACTTAATGAAGAGTTGACAGAAGAATAATCTCTTGATAATAAAAAAAAATATATTAATTTTTATTCTATGGGTTGAGCTTCTGGCTACGGTTATTGGTGTTAGGAAGTGTGTATGAAACACTTAAAATGATTCCTAATCCAACAGAAAATTCGAGCTGGAAATGTTATAAAATAGAAACATATCCTAATATTGATTAGACATCTAAATTAATGAAGATAAAATACAGAAAAAGCCTTCGATTCGAATCATTGTTTCTTCAAAAATCACCTAATACAAAAAAATACATCAATAGATAGAAAGGATAGTGGATAACCTGTCAACATGTTTCCTGACCACTCGTCATTTTCACTCTGGTACGTGGCTCCCAGAAATTCCTTCCAGGTAATGAAACACGGACAACGTTTAGGAAAGTCTTCGGTAAATGACGAGACACGGAGAGATTCCTTGAATCAAAAGAGAGTTTGTCATCAAGATGGAATTCCTTCATTAGACGCCCAACAGCTTCTGTGCGAGTAACTAGAAGGGAGATTCGCATTTGCCGACATCGTGACCTCTCCGCCCCAAAATGGTTTGACTTAACCGCAGGAATTCGCTTCTTTGAACGAATAAAATTCTGCGGCGTCTTTATATGTTTAACTCGCCGTTTCTCGCACGCTTGCATTAAACGGCTTCTTTATTAGTACGACACGGGTTATTTTAACCGTAGAATGCGAGTGTGAATTTGTGTTGGAATTGCGTACATAACCGTAGAATTATAACATATGGAATAGAACATATGGTGTGAAATTGAGCTCATAAGTTGTAACCCAATAAGTATTTATGTAAAAGGTAATGCTTTATCAAGGAACAAATAATTTAGTTGAAGTTCTCTGAGAAATTACCATTGCTTCTTCAGCAGTGAAACCTTTCAGCACCACCTCAATAATTTCATAATCTTAAATTCATAAATTTTCCTTGCATGCTTCTTTTGCGTACAATTATGTTTTTGGATTACAAAAAGTCCAGTTTTAGTTTTAAAAAATATAGAGCACCAAAGTTGTTATTTAAGCAATAGGAAAGACGGGATTTTACTAGTTGGAACGTTTTTCAAGTTAAAACGTTACCCTTGAAGATTCTCAATGGCGTTGCTCTTTTAGGTAGAACACATAATTTAAAGCCTTTGACTAAAGAACAAGAAACTGTGAGCAACAACAATTTTTCCCGATGTCAACTGTAGCCTACATTAAACTGTTACATACGACTGTAGAAATGATAATTCTAATTACCTCAAAGTTCCTACAAACAAACCCTTTAACAAACAATAATCTTGTTTCATAATCGGTTCAGTAAAAGATATGTCAGTGATATATAGTAAAAATAACACCCTATAAACAATAAAATATAAGAAAAAATAAAACAAACACGATAGAAATTATTAACGAAAACAAAAAGCTAAATGAAGACACACAGAAGAAAAGAGGAAACGGTGAACAAAGATTTGTCATCTGAGATTTTAACTCGTGACATCCTAAGTGTTACCACTCTATGCTCTACATGCAATAACAGCAGCTACCCCCAATTTAAAACGTCCTCCAAAACTCTTATAGAACACTTTACGACTAATTTAAAACTGTAAACCAAACAATCACAATGAAACTGGAACAATGAAGTAGTAAACACACACTCGTCATTACACGGAATAACAGATAGGGGTAATGGAAGAGAACAATAATAGCTGGCCTAATTCCACCATGTAATGGCGGATGTGGCTAATTTGTAATTAGTAATTACCAGTAATTACAGCAACAATTGGCAGTCCATCTGGGGAATTACCGTGGTTGTATCTCAAGGTAATTTACAGCTGTTGTTTACGGCTAGTACAATCAGCTGGTTGATGTGTCATTTCTCTTTTCGATGCACTTTTCTCACGTGAGCTTGATGTGAGGGTTCTTGAGTTTTCCTTGAGGCAAAGAGTTTGATATTGCAGGTTATTACTTTTGGATTCTCTAATCTCAGGGTCTTGCGTATGGGTTTTATAGATGTACATAAAATATTAAAAATAAAAAAAAACTTCTTCTGTGTTGCTTAAAAATTGAAGGAACTGAGATTTAATGTGTATTCCACTTTGATCTGAAAAAGAACAAAAATATATAAAGAGGACTTAATTATGTTTATGTATGAAATAGTGCCTAGACATGTTGTTTTGACAATACAGTATCAACTGCAAAACAAAATATTTAAATATATTTTGATACTGTACTTAATTTTGTTGAACGGCTTGAAATTATAATTTTAGGAATAACTACTAAATAGGAGAATCCTTGAATTAGCCAGCTTTATCGGATTTCGTGACCAAAAGAATTGAATATCTACTAAGATAAAATTTATGTACACAATTGGCAAAAATTATTTTTTTGAAACCCAATTTTTTTGAAAAAAATCTAGATATAGGCCTACCTTTCGAGGTTCAACCTTCGTAGTGCCATGTCAGCTCTTGGATTTTCGTAGTACTCGTAAATACACATTTTTTAGTCAAATTTGTTTAGATAAACACAATTATTTCACTGTTAGCATAATTCACATCCTTCATAAAAAGGAAATTCCAAAACCCTCCGACTCTAAAAAAAATTGAATACTACAAACAAAATCTTAATTTGGGTGATCATATTTTAGCCTTGAAATAAAATAGGCCATTCATTCTCTAAAGAATTGGGTGAAGTTCAAAACAAATAGTAAGTAACTGGATTATTTAGGCATACAGTTTGAAGATCCTTAAACCAACTGGACTTCTTCCTCATTATTTAAGCTAATTAATCTACAAATCCTTTAGCAGCAAGTTATCTCTAATCTGTAGACCTTCCATGTAGTCCAAAGGGATAGTTGGCGCCCGCCGTTCTGGCTCATTTCTTGGGCACCCCACACTGCAAATGAGCCATGAGCGGTTCTTCTGACCCTGGCTCACAAACTCATCAACTCATCTGCCGCTGAAATCGAGACAGATTGCGAACTGATTTCACTCTGGAATTGGATAAAGCTGTTAGGATTTATGAGGCTTCGCCACATATCGAAACCTTGCGGTGCCAAATGATCAACGGGGTATTCGTAGACTGTTTACCAGCACGATTTGACCTAGTTGATAACTACAACGGAAAGTTCTCAGTGAATTGACGTCGAACAGTTTGGATTGCTGTAGTTACCCAATTTCTGTAGATAGTAACGATTGAATGCCTACTACTTCACACGCTTTTGTATAATCTAGATACCCAATCTGTAAAGGACTTAGAGCATCTGTAGGTTTGACAAATCGTGTAAAACTTCTTTTCAGTGTTTGTTGAAGTTGTGTATTAAATATGTATTCTTATGGTTCAGGTATTGCCTCTTAACAAACTAGACACTTATTATCTTCTTATTCAAGAATAGCACAACTGTCAACAAAGGCTTTAAAACATGTTTTTTTGAGAATATGCAGGATTGAGAACACAATTTTAGGAAACATATCAATCCGATGTTTTAGGGTTTCTAGTGAGACATTGTTGTCTACTGTTATAGAGTCCACAATATAGAAAGGCTTCTTTCGTACACTTTTCATTCGGTATTTAAAATCAGTCTTGCACCCTACCCCGCAACTTATTAGAGAACTTTTAGGACTGTAGGGGGAGGGAATAAGTGAATAACAGTTTCATATAAAAAACCATCATATCAAGCTTTCTGTTTTGGCCAGCCTATCACAATCGGTCTTAGAAGTAACTGTAGACCCTGACTGGAATCTACCATGTCACAAGTAAAAAATATGCCAATCCTCCTTTTTTTACAGAAACGAAATTAAGTGTTCCAAAAAGTTCATATTCAAGCTTCCCACTATAGCGTTTCGTACAAACAAGGTTGGTTACATTTGTCTGATTATTGATGGGAACTGCAATGTATTGAAGGCAATTCACAGTAAACATACAGGGTGAATAAAAAGTCAAGATCCCCCCCCCTCTAATATTTTTCCAAGTAAATATACAGAGATATCCTTTTGGTGGTCGAGCAATCTTAGCAGGAAGTTTTATTTTTTTGATTTTGAAATTTTTTAGTGTCCCCCCAAAAGGGGGGATTTGGGGGCAACTCAAATATTTTAAATGTGAACCCCCTTCAAGTGACACCTCATTTTGAAGTGTTTAAAAAAACTTAAAGAATGGTGAAAACCAGAGCTCGCTATCTCTTCTCTATCCAAAATGGCAGCCAATATTAACATTTTTATCATTGATTTTCCACAACATTTGACGGGCTACAATTTTAGATAGAGAAGAGATAGCGACCTCTAGTTTTCACCATTCTTTAAGTTTTTGTAAACACTTCAAAATGAGGTGTCACTTGAAGAGGGTTTACATTTAAAATATTTGAGTTACCCCCCAAATCCCCCCTTTTGGGGGGACACTAAAAAATTTCAAAATTATAAAATGAAACTTCCTTCTATCCGATTGCTCGACCACCAAAAGGATATCTCTGTATATTTACTTGGAAAAATATTAGAGGGGAAGTCTTGACTTTTTATTCACCCTGTATTTAAGTACAATTATGTAGACTGTAAGTTGTTCATCTAAATACAAAATTTGCAAAAATTGCTGGTCGCTGGTCCATATGGATGGGATGTGTACTTAGTATCCAATTGTCAATGGTTTGTCTTACAACAGCAGTGTGATTGAATTGTGCACCCTGCTTTCGTCGAAGGGGTTTCGATCACGTCACTACGCTAGACCGCTCTTGGACTGCACCGAACAGTTTTGTTTTGAAATCCCCAGTGGAAGGAATATATCCGATAGGGGAGTGACTGCTAGTGGGAAGCGGGGTTCACACTTTACACCGATTGACAGTCCCTGTCGAGCTTTTAATAGTTGACATTGTTGCAGGGACAGATAGCGCGTCACACCTACCGCCGTAGTAAACTGTTTCCGGTACACGACTTCCGGTTGTAATGCGGGACAACTGTACATTTATGTGCTGCAAAGCTATAATGTATTGTATCGCAGAGTGTGTAAAATATTCATAATTGTTATTGGTTACTTTCATAAAGTTTTGGAATACACGAATGTCACTACTCTTCCTATGGTGTCCGACTGCATACACGTACAGTACAAATTGTATGTTCCTTTACAACCGATTTAGCGTTAGGTTAGGTTACTGTAGGAGAAGAATTTTCTTGGCTTCCAGAATTTGTAATCCTTACCGCATTCCACAATCTGCATACTGAAAGCTGCCTATAGGATCTTGGAGATTCGTTATTTTTTTAGACTGAAGTCCAGATTGTGCCGAGACACCACCTATGAATAATTGAGAGCACAAATATGGAGCGAAGACACGGATAAGAGACATCTCTGCTTTATATTAATCTACGGCTTGTGGCCAAAAGTTTATAATAGGCTTATTATATTTAGCCTTCTCTTTTTTTGGACAATTTCTATTCTATTTAGGGCCTATATTTTATTTATATTCCATTTACATTCTATTTCTATTAGTTTTCTAATATATTTCTATTCTTTTTCAATTATATTTCAAGTCTATAAGCATTCTATTTCCATTCTTTCAATTATATTTATACAGTTCAGTATTTTTGATTTTTACAGTAATTGTTTTAAGTGACGGTTTGAGGTTCTGTAAGAAAGGGTGGAACCGTATACAACATGTGCAACTGAGAAGCTATTATTTTATGAAAACTTAAACGTCTAAAACAATAAGGAAATGTATTTTATCACCTCTTTATTATTTTAACCCTTTGGATTTTAAATAAAAGAAATAATTTATCAATCGAAGTAAATGTGCTTTTGGTAATGTTAGACAAACTTTGCCTTTCAATGTTTACAAACTAGTATATTGAATATTTTGCTGATTTTGTGCTACTCAGCACCCCTATGCCACGACCTAAAGCATGTTGTCGTAAATACAGACTTTACCACGAGGCAATCAGCTGTAGAAGACATATTATAGAACACATAGGATGGTTGAGGTTGTATTCTTAGTTGTACATATACAAGTCATATTTACAGTGTTGCCACACCGTCCGTGTACAAAACTGCCCGCGCTAACTGCCCTCAGACACGACAGTCCAGTAATCAACCAACTAACTTATGTTTAACTATACTCCAAGAATCCTAAATGGATCGTTAAGCGTCCAAGCTAAGCTTAAAATCACTTTGCGTGTCTAAGGCTACTTATTATTTGTTATCTGATAAAACAGTGTGTCAAAAGTGGAATGCTATTGCGAGAACCATTTGTGTTTAGAGCCAACTGCTGTTGTAATGAGAATGTTTTATTACAAAGGTATTTTTCCTACAGTTACCTGACAAAGAGGGCTTTCTAGCACGCAAAGTGGCTAATTGCTGCATTTACTTACTTTTGCCGCACTGATTTTACTTTTGCCACCATGATTTTTTTTGCCGCTCTCCAGTATTCCAAACAAACAACACAAAACTTTGTGTTTTCATTAGGCACATAATACGTGTACACTTGAAAAGAGTTGGCAAAACCAAAACTTAAAGATACTACGACCACGATCAGCTGGTGCAGCTTTTCCATTGTCGTTCAATGTTTGGATTTAACCTAACCTAAAAATGTGTTGTATTATAGTATTTAAAAGAGAATTATTTATACGCTTTATAATAATTGTAGGGAAAATATAATGTGTAACGCAAGTGTAAAGTTCCTTTGCTGCACTCGTGAAATTCTCGATCCACATTCGCCTGCGGCTCGTGCGTAAACATTTCTCTAATGTGGAGCAAAGGGTCACTTCGCACACTAGTTACACAAATAACTATTATGGTAGCTGAAAAATACCTTATTGGCTTTGTATAGTTGAAGTTTGTTTCTCATCTATGACAAAATCTCAGGTTTATTTTTATTTGTGTTATTAGTGTGACTACGTTAGAGCATCTAGACTATCTAGAGTCATTGTATACTAAACAAAATTTGTCTTAGCTTAAGGTAAATTTAACAGTGTGTAATTTATTTTATGGTGAAGCAATAGTTTGTACATAGATTTTTAATTTGGTTTAATGTTTTTATGCATGACGGAATCACAATAAAAAAATAGTAAACTCACTCTACATATACAGGGTGTCCCGGAACTCTCTACCAATATTTTAGTTATTAATTTTTTTTCTAAAGAATGGTTAAACATACGAAATGGAAACTTTGCACAAACATTTATGACAACTAGACAAAGCTACCAAAAAACTATCACGATTTTTCAAATTCATAAAACAAAATGGCGGCCATTTAAAATTTTTGTAAAATAAATGGTTTTTGAGTTATTTAAGAAAGAAATTTTTAAATGGCCGCCATTTTGTTTTATGAATTTGAAAAATCTTCATAATTTTTTTGTAGCTTTGTCTAGTTGTCATAAATGCTTGTGTAAAGTTTCCATTTCGTATGTTTAACCATTCTTTAGAAAAAATTATAACTGAAAAAAACAAAATGGCGGCTGTGTGAGTAATTAAGGACTTCCGGACAGTTTAAATATGATATTTAGGTACGTTTCTTACCCAGG